ATAAATAAATAAATATGCAAATAAATAAATAAATGTGTGTATAAATAAATAAATATGCAAATAAATAAATAAATGTGTATAAATAAATAAATACGCAAATAAATAAATAAATAAGTGTGTATAAATACACGTATTCTTGTTTAAACATGTATATAAATAATTAAACGTGTGATGAAATATAGGCAAATAAATTCGATTCATCTTCCCTCGGATAGTAATGCCTGTGACAATGATGACGTATTTTTGACAGTCGTTTCGCACACCGCACTTCGTGGTCGCAATTCGCATGTCGTTCGTGTAACAGAGCTGTTGTGAAAACAAGCGTTGTGTCTGTAAACTGTCATAGTCGTACATTTTGGAGTTGTACTCTAACAAACACACAAAATCTCGTATCTGTAAACTGTCGTGGGCGTAGATTTTGGAATCCCACTCTGACAAAAAACAGAATTACATACAATACTTTTAAATTATGCACGAGTAAATTAAAATGACACACAAATGCTTTGAATTACGTATGATTATTTTTGACAGTGATTTTATTCCATATTACCAGCGCTCAGAAAATAGGCAGAAGACCCAAAATGTCTTCTATTGGATATTGTGTATTGTCTTGCCATTCCCCAAAGCATATGTGGGGGTTAATGCCTGATTGTGTTTGGATATCCTTTCCCAGGCACTCTGTTTTCCATAGTGGATGTTAGTGCTTCGCAGGCTGGGGTAAGAGAGAATAATGTGATTGTAGATATGCCGTCGTAATCCTCCACCCTAAAACCCTGCTGGCTAAGGAGAAAGAGCTCACTTATATTTCTCCTTCTCTGCCACAGCCTCCTTAAAAGGAGCTCCTTGGCTTTGTTTGCTCATAAACAGATGGGTGGAGTTTCTCCAGCAGGGAGGTGCTCGTCTTGAAGACGTACTGCTGAAATGTCTGTCATGTTCAAGAACTTCACGTTGCTTTGTCTGATGGATAAGAATGTGTCTTCATAAGTGTGCTGCCCTTCTGGTTTGATTTCTTTCCTTGTCTGTGATATATTACACAATCCCAGAGAAGCTTTGTGCTTCTGATGACTAAGACTGGCCGATATAGATGAAACATGAAATTGATTTAGCTTTTATTTATGTATATATTTGATATTTGTGCATTTGCTTTAAAGTTTATTTTCTTTTTCGTAGGAATTTATATTAGTGCTGTCAGAGTTAGAGTGTTAACGCAGGTGAGTTTAACGGTTTCCAGTTTAATGGCGTTAAAGGGATAGTTCACCCCAAAATGAAAATTCTGTAATTAATTACTCACCCTCATGTCGTTCCAAAACCGTAAGGCCTTCGTTCATCTTCGGGAACACAAATTTTGATATTTTTGATGAAATCCAAGAGCTCTCTGACCCTGCATAGACAGCAACGCAACTGAAATGTTCCCAGACCCAGAAACGTAGTAAGGAGGACATTGGTAAAGTAGTCCATGTGACATCAGCTGCTCAACTTCAGTTTTGCGAAGCTATGAGAATTCTTTTTGTGCACAAAGAAGCATGCGTCGTGGTACACTCCAAAATGGCAGAAGACAGTAACTCATGGGAGAAGAATTCTTGAATGAAGTCGTTATTTTTGTTTCCTCTTGTTTCCACAAAAAGTATGCTATTATAGCTATTATAGCTTCGCAAAATTGTTGAGCCACTGATGTCGCATGGACTGTTTTACCGATGTCCTTACTATGTTTCTGGGTCTTGAACGTGTCAGTTGCGGTGCTGTCTATGCAGGGTCAGAAAGCTCTCTGATTTCATCAAAAATATCTTAATTTGTGTTCCGAAGATGAACGAAGGTCTTGCGGGTTTTGACCGACATGAGGGTGAGTAATTAATTAATGACAGAATTTTAATTTTGGGGTGATTTAATATCCCTTTAAAAATATTTAACGCAGGGGCGGGGCTAGAGTTGACAGGCCATATGTCAGTAAAAACTAATTTTCCTGTCCTGTGAGCCGTTATACTGTGCTTGTAGCATGTGGTCTTCAATTGCATGCATACATTTGGCGGCGTGCGCTGTAGCCTGTATCATTTCATGTTAAACCGCGAATGAAACTTCGAGCATGCGTGTCAGATCCGCATCATGTTCGCAGCGGCAACTGCGTAAAAAATTAACTAATTAATCACACATTTTTCTTTAATTATTAATCGTGATTATTAATCATGGTTATTTGGTGGCTATTACCTTAAAGGGATAGTTCACCCAAAAATGAAAATGTGATGTTTATCTGCTTACCCCCAGGGCATCCAAGATGTAGGTGACTTTGTTTCTTCA